CTGCATTTTTGGATAGACGTCACCTTTTCTCCACAATAAAATCTATATTTTTAAAGGAATAAATTGTTTGATTCTATATCTGAAGGCTTTATTATTTTTTAATTGTTTTTTAAATTCAATTCTGCATTTGAAAAAAATTAATTTAATACAATTATTTATGCGAAAGAAAACCATATGAACCTTTCTCAGTGAAATTTACTATGGGACATTACATGTAAATTAGTGACGCAATGTATTGAAAAAAAAAATGACGTCACAAAGAGCAATCATGTTGAAAATATGTACTTGAAACAATTTCTTCAGTCTTCGCAACTATGATAAATATTCGATCAATATTTACAGCGTGTAAAAGTAATTTAACGACATAAGTTGGGATGGTTCAGACAATCAATTTACATTTAATCCTACATGTACAATGTACCTCCAATTAAAATGCGCGTCTCTTGGACATTGACTTTATTTGACTTAAGAAAAGGTTATTTTTAACATTTTTATTGAAAATCATCAGCTTTCTTAAGTATGTTTTATTCGTTTTCAATTCATATATGTCTGGGATTCATGAATGTCAAAAGACAATAGCTAACGGTTTTTTTTTTTTTTTTGGGGGGGGGGGGGTAGATTGGAAGCTTGTCTTACATGTATAGCAGTCACCATTTGAACTTTTCTTTTCAAAACTTGTTATCCTTGTCACTGTATTGTTTCAGATTTTTATTTGACAAAATGAATTATGACAGAAAGGATTCTAGTGTTTTATCGCATAATCAGGAAGTGTTTTATATATGACTAGATACTTTTAAATCTGCCACTGCCGACCTACATTTACTTATTGAAGGTCACCAGCTGGGAATGGAAAAGTTCTTACATGTAGTTACATTTATTAATTATATAAACATTTATCATGCTGATCGGAATATTGACATCAGTGTTTTCATGTAAAATTGGAATTAATTTATAATTTACAAGGAATTTTAGATAATTATGTTGACCAAGTTTATAAGGCTTAAAAAACGTATACAGTGGTGTACGATTTCGGTATTTTCTACGAAAATTTAAGTGAAACATGATACAATCAACCTTTTTTATTGTCTATAAATAAAGATTATCTGTTCCCATGTAGTTCTGTAAGAAATACAAACACGATCTTGCATTACTTGTGGACAAACACCCCCTTTCCGCTCCGTAATCGATGGTTTAACTCGTTATTTTTTTCATTAATTGTTTTCCATATACATTTTAAGGCATTCCAAGTCCTGAAATGAAAAAAAAAGAAAAAAAAAGATTACTCTAGATAGATATTTATCTGTATAAAAAACGAATGTACATATTAACTACATGTACACTATTGTTAATCTTGAAGTAAGCGAGTATTTTTAAAAGGATTTTATCCAGATTATCCATAAAATAATAGTAATATATTTCATAGGAAATATATTTAGTATTCCAATAGATGTTCATCGGGGCTGGAGGAGCGTCCTGTCCAATATCACCTCTGTGAAAACGGCGGTGCACAGTATCCCTAGATTCAACGTCCGTCTGTGATGATAATCCGTTCCAGAAAAAAAGCAAATTAAAAGAATTTTATCGTTACTACAAGGACAAATGCACAAGGAAATGCCCCAGAGAGTTAATGTATCCAAAGGAAGTGATAAAATTATCATTGTCACCGAAATAACTATTATATCAAATACATGTATCTTACCTTTGGCTGTGTAACATGTAAACATAGGGAGGAGTTCTACAGAAAATCTTTTTCTATTTTAATGCAGTTTTTGTCTTAGAAGATGACGTGATGTATCGTCTTGCAATTCATGTCAGCAGTTTGTTAGGTATATTTTTTAAGATTTTTTTTTTATCAGACACTAACATGAAAAGGAAACATAATCAAGCTAGTGTTATAATCCGGGAATGGCAAGGATAACTCTATGAAGAAGCACTGTGACGTGTTTTGCGTATTGTTCCCACAAGTAACAAAATAACATAAGATTTCGTATAATTTGATAACTGAACTAGAAATAAAATCTCTATGTAGCTTATAAAAAGGGACGTGAAAGTGAATTTTGATTCTTCTATGTGAGTGTTCTGTTATTCTGCATTTCGATTATTTGTATTTTGTCTCTATGTAAAGGGGGGGGGGGGGCTACTGATAATCAAGTCATACATGTAATGTAATGTGTACCAATAAAAAAAAATTTATATCAAGAATTTGATTTAAAACTAAATACATCCCTTTCCAATTTCCTTTGGCTCCCCACTGGACTGTGACCGTTGATCGATCTTTTACTGATCGATATCAATGCAAGTGTCTGCCGTTTCATGCTGCATTGCTTTGAAGACGACATGCGCATGTTTTCATAGCTGACGCGGATAAACTTTATATTCAAATCATACACACAATATTATATCCTTATCTTTATAACTTTTAGTTTTAGGGAATTATGCCCGTTAGAGTGGACTACAGCCTTCTGAATCCCTTCCCGAGAATTCGTGTGCATTTCCTTTCGAATTCACCACGCAGATTTAGGCATATAATTTTCGATTTTGTTAATCAAATAATGAGTATGTGCATGCAAAGTACTGTGTTTGTCTCTAAAATTAAATTATTAGCATTGGCTATATAAATATTTTTTTCATCGAAAAATTGATCTAAACAAATCGCACACCCTTTTTTAAGCCTTCGGAGATTCACGGTTTTTATTTGAAGCAAAATTTTTCAAGGTCTGTTAACGCAAGTTATGATAAAGCTATTCCAAGTTTTTTTTCTATGTGCAGTGTACGCGGACGAATTGGTTTTGAGGTTATAAAATTAAAAACAAACACAAATTAAAATTGATAAATACAAAGCTTTGAAACGCAAAAACGAAGTTAACTCAAATTAAAATCAACAAATACGAATCTCTGAAATGCATTTTACTCTTTTGGGATTGACATCCCTCTTTTTTAAGTGGTGTATTAATTTTTTTATTTCAATAAACTAGTAGTTTAACTATAAGTTTTATGGCGAGGAGAGGTCTCAAATGATAAGAAATTCTAACACTGTTCTGAAAATGCTGCGTTTTTCTCCTTTTGGTTTGTGTGTTTTCTCGGATAGGAAGAAAGGTTAGAATGGACGCTAAACAAAGAAAAAACTTGGAATGGCCTCATCAATCAGGACTCTTATAACCGGTCTCCTCTTGTGGTTTTAACATAGAAAGTAATTGTGTGTAAGTATATTGGGGATTGTTCCTGGTTAGGGTATTTTACATGAACCGTGCAGTAAAGCGGATCCACTGGAATGAATAAATAATGATCTATAAAAGAAATCCTAACATCAGAGAAAATTTTTTTAACGCAGTTTAAGACACCTCGTATCCCCGTAATAGCGAGTAATTTATACGTTTACCAAAAAAAAAAAGAAAAAAAAAAGAAGAAAATACGAAATTAATAGCGCTGCCATTTGTTGGAATGGAAAAGGGGAGTGGTGTTGATGGCTTTTTCATTGCCAAAAATCCAATTTTGACAACTTTATATGGGACGTTCCAATTTTCTTTCTAATACTGATTCATGTATCTTTAAAAATTTTAATGTAACTTCATAGACAATGCGGAAAATGATTGAAGAAATCATTAGGACATTTTTACATAAAAAAAATGATAAATTTGATACGAGCACAATTTTAAAAGAAGTACTACCTCGTCTCGTCTGTATGGATGAATCAAGCTTTATTACTTGTCTGATGAAATCGTTTGTAATAAGATTATATTTTCCTATAAATTATTATACTCCTTCCAGCTATCAAAGATACATTACGATGAATTGAAATATAGTTCAAAATTGTTTTCTGGAACATAAGGCAGGTTAAAGTAAATAGTTTCCGGTTCAGTGAATTTACAGATATCTTTTAACGTAACGTTATAAATCAGTAACGCCGTGATGACGTTATCACGTCAAAATTTGTAATTTCTAAATAAAACTCCCCATTTTTCGAGACCTCTGACGGAAAAACGGTTTGTGATAATTAAAAAAAATAAAAGGATTTTGAAAGGACACATCGTAGGCATGTTTGTAAAAAAGTGAAATCAAATTTGGAGACAGGGCCGCTCTGTTATACTTAACGTACCCAGTTTATTTTTTTTTTTTCAATGATATCAAACTCATCAGTTCCCCTTCAATGGTTAATATTCAAGGTTCACAAACCCTCTGCTCACTCATATAAACTGTCGCTTTAACCTTTATGATTTTCCGAAAGAAATGCATTTTTAAAGTAAAATACAAACAACCATACCATAGCTCGCAAAGGAAAATTTAACAAAAAAGACATTTCAACTTGACAAATCTATAAAGGAATTATAGTCATTTATGTCACTAGAGTTAACTTTCTTATCAGAGTTATCGATGAAACTTAATCAAACTATTCTCAGAAATTTTCAAATGTCGCACTTAGGAGGAGTAAGCATTTTCGATCGACGTTCCATATCACCGTGAGCTCTCCGCAGGTGAACAAAGTAATTCGTAGTCAAAAATTAATATAAAGGTATGTCATCCAATACTGGTTCGCATTTGCAAACAAAGTCATAGTAACGAACACAATATTTGCGAATTCTTAACTTAAAACCAAGTTGTTAAAAGCCTATTTCTATTTAAAAAATCTAATACAATATTCAAATTTAGTTTTAATATAATATTCGAATCTATTGACACAACCTGCAAAAAAGAATACGTTTATTGTTTCGCCAATACTGAAAAAAGAATCACAGATATATTCTTTACATGAACAAGTACAAGTAAATATCAATAATTGTGTATATGTGTTTTGTTCCCTGGGACCCGTTTTGTTATAAGATGCGGAAATCCAATTTATACTTAGTAAAGTGATACTAAAAGAAAAATATCTTAAATATTACGCAAGTTGATAAAACCAGTGAAAAAAAATTAGATCTTTTTTTTTTTAATTTCTCTTGAAAAATTAATCTGTAGTTGAATTTTACACATATATTAATCGACTCAGTCATCTTCCGTTTGCTCTATAGAAACGGATCCATTTCACACACATAAGCAAAGGGATCAGTAGAAATTCTATCAAACCAAAGGAATCCTCTATCCGCCCTGGCTCGTATGTGCGGTTGAGTAAGGTCACATTTTGGTACACTACCGTTCCAGAAGTTGAAGGTTATCTTAGTATTGTCTTCAAATACCCAGATACAATTTGAATTGTACAATCTGCTCTGAAGCCAAACGTCCTGACTGCTATCGCCATAGAGTTCTGTGTGAAAAAAAATGATTGATTGATTGAATGTTCCCTATTAAAAAATACTATAGTAAACTATAGCTATGTATAGTTTACTATAATTAACTATAGTTAATCAAAGTATCAAAGTTTTTACTGAAATAATATCAAAGTTCTAAAGTTTTTTACTGTAGAAAGTCACAGTGTCAAAGTTTTCAGTATACTTAATCAAAGTTCCAAAGTTTTCACTTTTGTAAATCAAAGTTCTAAATTTTAATTAATGTAAATCGAAGTTCCAAAGTTTTCACTATAGTAAATTGAAGTTTCAACGTTATTACTATAGTTAATCAAAGTTTCAAAATTTTCGCAATACGATATCAAAGTTTCAAAGTTCACAATAGTTTATGGACTTATTTAAGTATTTGAGTATATTTTTGCTTATTTTGTCGTATTTTTACGGGGATAGGGGTGGGATTGGGGTCGGGTGTTGTTGTACATGTTTATTTAAATTTAGAAATTAGTTAATTCAAATGCAATATTAACATTTATATATCAAACAATACATGTTCACTGAAGATGATGTAACAGGTATTTTGGTTCTAAATGACGCAAATTTCATTTTATAGTATATTATTTTCCTTTCTCCATAAAAAAAAAAAAAACTTACACTACATCTGCATTAAACTAAATACATTTGAATAATTGTTGCTCATCTTTCGGAGCGAGAGAAAACCTTACATTAAGATGCATTGAATTTTTTGTATATTGATTTTTTAGGGGAGGGGTCGGGTTAAAAAAAAGTTCTCTGAAGCTTTTATGTATTTTGACCATGAAATGTCCTAAAATGTCAGGAATTGGAATCAAAAGCATAATTCCACGGGTTTCACTACAGTAAATCAAAGTATCAAAGTTTTTTACTATAGTAAATCAGAGTTTCAAAGTTTTCACTATACTTAATCAAAGTTTTAAAGTTTTTACTATAGTAAATCTAAGTTCCAAAGTTTTTTTTCATAGTAAATCAAAGTTTAAAAGTTTTTGCTATAGTAAATCAAAGTTCCAAAGTGTATACTTTGATACTATAGTAAACTAATAATTAACTATAGTTTACTATAGTTTACTATTAATAGTATTTTTGTTAGGATTGTTTTAGGTCCCGTTGGAGAATTTTTCACTCATATAGAGAAGTCACCATATATCTGTGAAGGGCTTCGAATTTAGACCTTTACATGGCACTCAGGGCCATTCAGCAGTGCGGGTTCTTTATTGTGCAAACGCAAAAACAGGAAAACTTTTAAATTGTAAATAACAATATGATTGATTGCTAAAACACATTACTTCAAACGTACGATGTTAACGCCTTTGATATCGAAAACATGTTTCAATTCTCATAATATTCAGTATTCTTTACTTAAATTCTGATATTATGCCTATTTTTATTATCAAGGTGCAGTTTTGAAAATGAAGGAAATAAAATGATCAAGTATTTTGTAGAAATATATATAGTAAATTTGATTAATTGATAAATATGATTTTTATACTTTGAAACGTTTAAACATTTAATCGTACAAATAAAGAATAAATAGTGTGTGATTCTATATTTGCTTTATTAAATGAGCTGAAAACATGATGAATATTCCTGTCGAATATACACCTTTCCAACTAGATGAATAAAGCAAAGATAAATTCACACGATTGAAGATGCTTTATTTATCTCATCACAAAAGTTAATTACGTCATCCTGTTGACGTTGCCGAAAGAAAATTATTTGTTGATAATTAAAGTATGAAAAATTGGAATGACACTTGGCCTGTTGAGTCTTTCAAAACATATGTGACAATCTGTTGGGAGATTTATTTCATCCCAACTTTTAACTGGAGGTTGTAAGGACTAAGGAATCATGAATCCCCTAATCATATCATGATTTTGTGTACGGCGATAACATGTATAAATGTTACTTATAGATCAATGGTAATTTATATGTACTTTAAGTATAATGTGAGAGAGTACTGAATAAAGAACTTTTGACAATTTACATCTTGAACATCTTGAAGTAAGGGCCGCGTCAAAACCAGACGTGCTATTGATAAAGCATACTCGTGGTTAGTCTCATGGGTGGCATCCACCACACGTATGAGCTGATGTGATTTAACCTAATACTTTGTCGGTCTACATTTAACTTTTCCGTTTCATATTTGGATATTTTATCAGAAAAAGACGTTAATGGTAATCTAACAACAAACCTTCACGATAAACGTGATGAATTTAATTTTTCAATCGTCAACTTCCCTTACTTTTGCAGCAATATACCCTGATCACCTTCATATGGGGTGTACATCTCTCAGTTGATACGATACGCAAGCGCATGCTTTACGTATGAGCAATTTCTAAAACGAATTAAGTTATTGACAAACAAGCTGATGAAGCAAAAATATCAACAGTCTCGTGTAAAGTCATCATTTCGTAAGTTCTATGGTCGATACAATGACTTTGTCAGCAAATATAATCTAACAATCAGTCATATGCTGACTGACATTTTTCATTATTTATTATTATCATTATTTATTTTTAATTTTCACAGTGAATTTTCGACGGATTCCCTCGTTCCGATCATGACAAGGAGCACAAGGCGGGTGTGACCGGTCGGCAGGGAATGCTCACTCCCTCATGGCACCTGATCTCACCTCTGAATTTTGGAGGTCCATGTCTGTCCTGCTCCCGATTTGTATTTTTTTTTAATGGACTTTGAATTTGAATCTCCATATTTCATTTTATTAATCAGAAAGGAAATTATATTGGAATATGTTTCTTCAAATATCTTGACAAGAGAGTGCCTTTGCCCGTGTAGTATTTGTGTGCGTACGTACCTTTAACGTTATCTTTTTTTTTTTTTTTTTTTTTTTTTTTTTTTTTTTTTTTTTTTGCTTGCTTGCTTGCTTGTAAGGGTTCATCAATGAAAAATCATGTTTGAGATTTTGCATCTTATATGCCATGTCTTTTTGCTCTTTCTTTGGCATTATGTTTGGTATAAATCTGTTCTAACTTTTGATTATCTTGACATTCGTTTTTTTTTAATTAGGTATTTGATAAGAATATGAATAAAACTCACTTGTTGAAATTGATTCAACAATGGATGAAGAGTGGAAATGGTCCATTAAGGGAGCTTCTTTGTTAGATAAAATAAAGGTTAAGTAAACTTCATTCACTTAACTGTACAAATGCTGCTGCTCCTAAATTCGTTTTTGTTCATCTACTATACAGTTTATGATAAATTAAAAAAAAATTATCGTACTCTCTTCAGTCGACCGAGAATATTTTTGGAGAAAAGTTTAATAATAAAATTTGCATACTTTTACTTTTACCAAGTACCGATATACATGTATACATATATATATATATATATATATATATATATATATATATATATATATATATATATATATATATATATATATATATATATATATATATATATATATATATATATATATATACAATGCAGGAAACTAATTTTGTTACAGCATCGATGCTGATTTGAATGCTTCCTTTGCTTGCTGATTTGAATGCTTCCTTTGCTTGCTAATTTAATGCTAGTAATCCTTATCCTGATGCTGTTTTATAATTAGGTCAATGCTACCGGAAGTAGCATCATGCTACCGGAAGTGGATAATGAATTTCAGCATTGCCGTTTAAAGCAATAAAAGTGCCTTTTACAATTATTTGATCATAAGATCTCACTATGTATCAATAATGTTAATACTTTAACCAATATTCTTTCTTTCTTTTTTAATTTTTTACTGAATTAAAACTCATTTATTTTCTAATGCAAGTAGGATAATGCTGATTTTATGTAGGTCAATGCTGGTTTTATCCTTTGCTTGCTGATGCTGATCTTGGTACAGTGGCTGCAACGTTATTGTTGACAACTTACACGAACGATCACGTTACACGAACGATCCCGCACGATTAACGCACGATAGAATCTGTTACACGAACGATCTTTCACACACACGATTCTACACGTTACACGATCTTACACGCTTGCTAACGCAAACGCACGATTCTTCACGCAAAATAGTTCAAATTCTTTAGGAATAGATATTTTCGAAACGAAATAAAGCTTAATACTTATTTTAGATTTCAAATAATTATTGATATTATTTCATCGACTTTGAAAAATGAAAAAAAAGAGAAATGGATATTTCTGGAACTAAATACATGTAAGACTTATTAATCATTTTAGATTACAAATAATTATTTACGTAATTCTACGACTTAAGAAAACTGATCTTTTCAGAAGATGTACATGTAGGTGGACCGTGAGTTTTGATTGTCTAAATGAATTGGATTTCATAATATGCAAAAAGGGATAAGTTTGAACAAAAAATGGCATGAAAATGAATTAAATTATAAGTTATATCCATGTTTCCATTTGTGAATCTCTAAAATCAACAATAATTTTACAAATCATTTATTTGCAGAAATTATAAAAATAATTAAAAGTATGATAAACACTGATAAACGAATCCCTGACAATCATGTCGTGTACATGTACATTCGCCGGCTAAATATTTATGTAAGCATTGAGAATTGTTTATTTATTTATTTGTAAGAATATCTATTTTTGATCTATTGATTTTAAAAATATCTTTACCATAATTAGCAGTAAACATAATAAACATCAAAGAAAAAAACCTTAAACATCTAAGTACGGTTTATCACAAAAAATCACGCTATTTGACAAGAACACAATATTGTACGACTTATCATATTGCTTATTTCCAAGCGATAATTAGTTCGTTCTTCTTTCAATTATGTAAATCGCGCTTCATTTATTTTATTTGTATGGAAAAAAAAAACAAAAACAGACAAGCGAAATGCTTGTATAACAAACAACATTCCGATAAAAACTTACAAAACGAAATTTACACGTTTCTTCACGCACGATCACGCACGATTAAAACCGCAAACGATTGAATCTGATACACGCACGATCTCGCACGTTACACGAACGATCACGCACGTTACACGAACGATTCTACACGATTGGTTTGTCGACAATAACGTTGCAGCCACTGTAATGCTGTTTTTTAAATGCTGATGCTGATGCTAGCTCGATCCTGATGCTACTAATGCTTATGCTGATGCTGGTTTATGTAACAAAATTAGTTCCCTGCACTGTATATATATATATATATATATATATATATATATATATATATATATATATATATATATATATATATATATATATATATATATATATATATATATATATATCCCTTTTATATTTTCCTTCTTTGGTTTCTTTTTATCATGAATAAGACTGTGTACGATTTACTGCTTGGTCGTTATTAATTAGCGATAATTCGTTCAATTATGCAAATCGCACTTCACACGAGTACACCCGACAGACCGGACGTATTTCATAGCGGTCCGCATTTCTTTTTTCACAACTGGTTAAAAACTTCAAATTAAACATGTAATATAATTGTAAATACATAGTGTTTGGAAGTTTAGTAGTAGTGCTAGTTCTTTTTGTTTCCTTTGTTTTCATGACTTCTTCACTTTTTTCTTCGTCCTGGGGAAGGGACAGGGCGTCCCGAAAATTTGACAATTTTTATTGTTCGTGTTGTTGGTCATTTTAAGTGTTATATATATATTATGTTTGTGCTGCGTTTCTTATTCATAAGCTAATATCAAGTTGATTGAGAAATACTTGAGAAAAATAAAAATATCAAAAGATTTTCTAACCAATAAATTTGATGAATAGCTCGTTTTTGCTCTGAGAGTTAATTTTAATCAAATCTCCTCCATCTGATCGGCAACTGGACAAAGCTGCGTCGTAAGTGAGGGTGTTGAGTTTATACTGCAAACAAGCCACCTCAGAACCAATGAAAAACATCTTGTAATTCTCGATGCATGGCTCTGAAGAAATATATCACATAGAAATTATCACTGAGTTAAAATAACAAACTGATGAAAACTCAGATTAAAGTGGTACTGGTTTTTGATTCAAAATAAGATAATGCTTTAAATACGATTTTCTACTTGCGTTCGTTATATTAGTCAAAATGATATAATAATAAAGTTATATAATCCCATAAATCCACATGCCTGATCACCTCTGTAGTATGGTTTGCAACGAGAGAGAAGTTGATCTTATCGAATGAAAACTTCCTGAGTTTTCTTTTTTGATGATGATGAAGTCAAACGTACAAAATGCTACGAAAGACAAACTATAAGTACTATACATATATGTATAGTTAGAAAATTTACAAAGTTAAACATTGTAAAATTGACTTTGGACCTCATGAAATCTTATCTAAAAGGTAGTATCAGTGAATACATTAGAATAGAAGTTAAATATATTGATCAACATGATAGGCAGGCCGACTCCTATGCGTGTTAGAATTCAGTTAATATAAAATGAAAATAGTAACATCATTGAAAGCAAACAATTTCAGGCAATATCACGGATGACATTGTCTTCCATATAGGTCAATTAATGATTGTATGTAAACGACGACAATAAAATATAAACTTTCCAATCAATGTTTCTTTAATCTGTAAAAACAAATAATGAATGTTCAAAGCTTTGTCTTCATATCTGATACGTTTTTGTACTCGTCCTTTAAGGTCCAAATGAAAATTACTAGAGCTAGTTCTACTTTCAGGGACAATGCTTTTAGGGTAAAGTGCTAAGTGTGGAAATTTTATATCAATAACTTTACATAGTAGCTCTCTCTTACAATGTCCAAATAAATACAACTAGTCCTAATTGTAACGGGAACCGTTACAGATGTTCCCCAAACGGCTCCCCAATCCCTTATGATGCCCCATTCCCTTCTTAAAAAGCTTCAATAAATTAGACAATACTTTTGTAATATAGATGGAACTTTATTTTTAAGGGTATTTCATTGGAAAACTACTCCGATATAGCCATATGGGTATTAGCGAATCAAATTTCAGCGCATGTGCTTGCACATGTTTTCTACATTTTTCATTTTAGTTTTCTTATAGTGTCTCACAAAACATACATTTGTGTTAAAGATTAAAGAATTTCAATGAAAAATAAAGGAGATGTAACCCTTTAAGTATTAGCCAATCAGAATTCAGCATACGCGCATGCATGGCCTTGCATTCAATTTTGATAGTATCATAATGTAGGAGCTCTATGTGCCCATCCATGTCGTAAATTTCATCCTGTTTTGTTGAAAACCAAGGGAGTTATAGACATTTAAAGTTTCAACCGATCTGATTGTAGCACATACACCTGCCTGCGCGTGTTTGTATCAGCTAATCAGAGAAGAGCGCACGTGCATGTGCGTGAGTTAACGCTAATTTGACCATGTTATCTTGTCTAGACTACTAATGTATCTTTATATTTTGAGTTTCAAAGCAATTCATCAAGAAATATAAAATTTACGGCTTCATCAAGTATATCAGTCATTTCACTCATTGCACGCGCGCGCACGTGCATGCATGTGCGCGCAAAATGACCTTCGTTCCGAACACCTACACAACATACCTATTAACCCTATAAAGGTTTCAATCGGATGAGTGGTTCTATGAAAACACTCCCGGCCAAAAGTACCGGAGAAGAAAGTAGAAAAAAAGAATAATAATTAGAAGAAGAAGAAGAAGAAACAGAGTAAAAACAATATGTTCCCAAACTTCGTTTGGGGAACATAATTAGAGCTCGATATATTTTTAATATCACGATTTTTAGTACAAAGTACACACCAGGTGTTTTGACTAGTAAGTGAATTTTAATTCTCAGACTTTTTGCAATCTCCTAGAAAAAGATGGAACCAGATTGCAAACTTTGCAATGTCTAATCTTTTTTTATATTTCTAACTTAAACACTAGCTTGTTTGATAAATATTAAAAGCTTTTAAATGCTTTGTCTTCACATCTTAAAAAAAGTTCTTTTCTTTCAAGGTTGAAATAGTTACAAATGGAGCTAAGTATACTCACATGGACAAGATTTTCGGAGAAACTTGATAACATGGATAGTGAAAACGAGAATAATAAACTAAGTACAGACTTCAGTCAAATTTTTATTTTTGATATTTTGTGTTCTATTGAATGTATTTGCTGAGGCATTTGCAATTTTTTATAACATTTCGATTCAAACATTTGATGAAAATTCTGATTCATTATCAAAATTATTTCCAAAGTTATAATGGTTTGAGATTTTGACTTAAAGTTTGTTCTCAGTTTATGGTTTTGGGGGGTGGAGATTAACTAGCTAGTGACTTTTTCATAGCTATGTAAATATAATACAAAAAATTACTGATAACACCCTTTTTTAAGTGGAATTGAAAGAATACCACTGATTATATGTTTGTTGATACTGTACATGGAGATTTGAATGGAACATTAACCTTCATATACCGTTGAATCCTGATTTCATTTAATTTATACTTAATTGTGATCGAGACAACTTTCGACTAATTATATGTCTAAAAGAACTTAGCACAGCAGAAAGCTCGAAGAATCGATAATGCAACATGGGAGATTTTCCTAATGCACTTTCTAATTCCCCTAATTAAAGCACATTTATACCAAGAAACACCAATGCAAACTTATATAATCCATAATCTTATGATGAAGTATGTACACAGTGTACACAAATAAATATACATATACAAATTTTAAAATACCAGTATATTATGAATGTTAACAGTGGCTATCGATCAAATAGCTTCTCTTCCTGATAGACAAAAGAAGCTCTGATCACCTTCCAGGATGCATAAAATTTTCCGAAATGCATCGAGATTGAGACAAGAAAAGTCAGGAAGCTTTTTTTTGAAAGTACTGGGTGTGCCGTCATATTCTCACGATCTTTAATCTTTTTTTTTTTTTTTTTTTTTTTTTTTTTTTTTGGTTATTTCTTGTAATTAATTTTTAAAATCAACTCTTGTAAAGAAAACCATCCAATAAAGTCAAAGTCCAGAAAAAAAATCAAGTTAAAAAACTTTAGCAATAGGAAACAATATACTTTTTCCTTTTAGTTTTGGAAATGTACAAATGAATGAGGGGTTAAAAAATAAAATAAAAAGAATGCAGATTAATCACCGTACATTTTCGCTTTTGAATGCAAAATATTAAGAGTAAGTTTCATTTTGTAATACATTATTTGTCAAATGGTTTTATCAGAAAAAAGTTATTAATTTTAAAGTATAAGTATAAATATAAGTGTATGCATATAGGTATATTTATAAGTACATGTATATATAATTAATTAACTATTAAGTTCAAGCTAGTAAATCCTATTAAACGTTAATCTACATGTCTAAAATATATAAAAATATAGTAAATAATAATTCCATTCTCTCTAATGCTCTCAAAATAAAATATTAACATTTTTGATGTCGGTCTTGGGAATAAAATAGTAGTGCAAGCTGTTCTACCTGGCATTGGTGTATAACCTATGACATTGCTTCCAGGAAAACTTGTCAGGTTCACAGTGTTACCGGGAAACGCATATCCACAACATATACATATTTTGATGTCCTTCTTCCAGACTCGAGGACCAGGGTATTCAATCATAGACAGACATCCCAGTAAGCAATGTTGTGCTGAATAAGCTGGAAAACCTTCCGAACACTCTGTGAAAATGTTCTCTTCTGATTTAATGAAAATCTGTTGCCGTATTATTCCTTCTATACTTCTAAAGCATAGACACAGTGCAATAATGAGCTGCATCACTGTAACTATAGAAGAAGGTTTATAGAATAAACTACTGTTGTTGTGTCAGTGTTAAAAAAATCCACACGCAGATCAATAAATTTCTAACCTTAATTAGCAGCGAAGGATATCATCTCAATCTGATGTTTTATCGACTTTTCTCTCATCAGAGCTGCTAATTACATAGTATAATTCAACGTCTCTGACTTCTCTCTATGCATTCAGTTTATTACTAGAGTCCGTGAAAGGACGTACAGAGAAGTACAATTTTATTCAAATTAATTTTACCCTTTCATAAAATAAACTACATAAATAAAGATCCTTGAAAACAATAACACAAGAGATGAATTTTACATTAACAAATGGAAGATTGCCATATAACCATGCGCGGATCTAGAGGGGTTGGGTGGGGGAATCCGGACACCCCCACCCCCTCCTGGAATTTGCAAAGTCATTAAAAGTATATAATGAAGCAAATAAAAAAACGACTTTAGACCCCACCTGGAAAACCTGGATTTCGCCACCAATAGCACGAAATAGGTATATTTTTTACACTTTGGAATGGACTTTAGGTTTTTTTTTTTTTTTTTTTTTTTTTTGTTTTGTTTTGTTTTGTTTTGTTTTGTTTTTTTTTTTTTTTTTTGCTTGTCAAGAAATTGCTGCATTGGAATTTATTTTTTTTACTTGGATGGAACCCCTCCCCCCCCAAAAAAAAAAAATTCCTAGATCCGCACCTGATATCTATATAGTACATGTAGTGACTATATGTATATGCAATTAAGTTTCATCATTTAGACAATGACCATGAAAATTCAAGTATTCAGTTTTTCTGAAACATCTAGAAAATATATTTTACACATTTTTTTTTCCATGAAGTTTAAGGAAAAAACATGTCTGAAAAGCAACATCCTCCTTGTATGGGAATTAAGACAGAAAAATCAATTAGATAAGCCAATAATGGAAAAGGTTTTTAATTTGTGTAAATGGAAACAAACCCATATTATTTTTTTTTTCTTCGGATGTCACTTATCTTAACTTTTTTTAAGATTAAAAAGTGACAGGAGGAATTAGAGAGATTGAGATCAAGAGCATGCTCTACGTATGTACAATTTCTAAAACGAGGTAAATTATTGACAAATAAGTTGATGAAACAAGAATATCAGCTGTCTCGTTTAAAGTCATCATTTCGTAAGTTCTATGGTCGATACAATGACCTTGTCAGCAAATACAATTTATCATTGAGTCAAATGCTGACTGACTCTTTTCATACTAATTGTTAGGCCATTAATTACACACAGAATTGTCGACGGATTTTTCCGTTATTTCCCGATCATGACAAGGAGCACACGGCGGGTGTGACCGGTCGGCAGGGGATGCTTACTCCTCCATGGCACCTGATCCCACCTCTGATGTTTGAGGGTCCGTGTTTGCTCTGCTCCTATTTTGTATTGTTTAATGGATTTTTGAGCTTGAATACTGTTCGTTATCTCCATATATTTCATCTAAAACTTCTACGCGTCCGTGTACGTGTGCAAATACCTTGACGTTCACGTACACGTTTTAATTTGTATTTTGTCTGTTGAGATTTTAAAGAACATGTACATTGCGCTGTGGGCAAAGTATGGCATCAACTAGATGTGTATCATCAATTGAGAAAACATTATTCAACGGATTGCATGCTCTATTTTTAGTGAATTGTTAAACGACGAATATTTTTATGCACAAACATAAAGAAATGATGACGTTGCGCTAACGTAATATAAAGTCGTAATGAAAATATGTTTTTTTTTTTTTTTTTTTTTTTTTTTTTTTTTTTTTGTAAAAATTTAAAGCTTTTTTGCAAGAAAATGAGCTTGAACTAGAACACACAATAATTATTTTGTAGGCATTGATTGTAAATTTTCGTCGCATTCTTTGTGCTAGGCTAAATAAAATTTATTTGCTCTTTTTAGAATTTTTTGCATGTTTTTCGAAATGTGTTTACCGACATAAAGTTACATTCTTTATCATACATTTCATTACAGTTGAATTCAAATTAAATTGCATATTTTCCATATAAATAAAATATCAATTTCGATATTTTGCTGGTGAATATCAAACCATAGTAACCACCAAAAGAGTTCACATTTGTTTTATCATATAATCCAGTTTCGAATAAATAATAAATTGAGGCTGCACGGAGACACCATTTTCATTAACGAATTATAACTTTCTTGTTTTCCTTACGTAAAGTGTAAGACATTCATTTCCCTTAAAAATGTTTGGATAATAATCAGGCTATATCATTGTAACAATTGTATAAACGTTATTTGATGTGTCGTTCTTGACATAACAATCTCCGATGCACGCGCTGTTACAACGCTTTCTGAAAAATTACGCACTTTAAAAAAAAATTTCAAAGTGCGTTAATTTTGGGACAACGTTAACGCACTTTGAAAAAAAAATATTTCTTTTCAATGTGCGTTAATATCGACCATATTAACGCACTTTGAAAAAAAAAATGTGCACGGCTTGGTCAATATTTTTGCAAATTTTAGGTATGATGAATAATTATTTGAACCTGGTTGGATAACTTTTCGGTGATGACGTCAGGATCTGTTATATAGACGTTTTAAAAATTCTTAGGTGTTGTCTTTTTTCCAAAGGTTCTTGTAACTGTTATAAAAGGGAAATGGGTCTTAGAAATAATGGAGGAATGATTGTTTAGCAACACAGTTTCGTTCTTTTTTCTTTTTTATATTTTATCCAGTCTCTAATAAGTTCGGTAGATGCAGGTGTCGATAAGTGACTTAAAGCATTGCATATTTCTTAGGGAAAAGGGAGCAATTATGATTTTTCCATACCATGAAAATTCTCTCTCTCTCTCTCTCATCTATTTTTCTATCATATTCATCTATCTATCTATTGTGAACATATGTGAAACAATGGTTGACTCATTTATTTGATAGTAAGAAAATAAACCTTAGCCACATTACTCTTTCGACTGAAATTTTTACCTCGTTCACTAATAACTTTTTCTCAAAAAAGTTATGCAGTCGGATTACTTCTAAATCTGTAATTTGATATCATAAAAACGCTAGACATGTCAAATAGCATGTTTTAATTACCATGTAAATGCATTTTTCTTCGGATTCATTGTGGATACATTTTGAATACAGGTTATGCGGCTCTCTTCTTTAATATAATAGGGTGCGTAATTTTTTTTTTCCAGGAAAGCTTATGTCAATTTTTTTTTATCTATTTTACGTTTACTCAAATTTATTGAGAGAAATAATATCAATGTCATTAGGGCTGTGTATTGAGCGAAAAAAATCAATACGATACGATACAATATTTTATAATGCGATATCCGATATATTGGATTCTTTAACAAGTCTATCAAAAAAGTCTTATAAATCATTTAATGCATGAATTTTAAAAAGAAGAAATTATTGTTTTATAATCCATTTCAAAGTTCTTGTCTCACTGTCATTACATATTACATTTCAAATTCAAACTTTTAATGACTGTGAAATCAATATATTAAAATAAAGTTGTCTATGTATTTTGTAATATTTATCTAAGATGTGCTATCTGCTTAATGATTATATCATTATTGATCAATTTTAATTCAAAACAGTGAAAATATAACCTTTGGTGATTGAAATTCCCAACTTTTTCTCAGAATTATCAGAAAATCTGCCTGTCCGATACGTATTGGAAGTTATTTTTTTGATACGATACATTCTTAAATATCGATACGTATCGATATATCGATATATTGATACAGCCCTAAATGTCATACCAGTTATATAAATACATATATTTGCGTAGGAAAGATAGAGAGTTTGGCTGACGGACTTTTTACCTTGATTTTAATCATGCAAGCCAAAGCTTGTGTGTATAAGCCTAAAGCATATGCGTGGATGACACGTTAATTGTTTTGTAACTGGGGTACATTTATCTTGATAATCGATATTTAATATGTGCGCTTGCATAGTTTATGCATATCAAAGTGAAGAATATTAACATCAAAGTGAAACAAAATTCTGTAATTGATCCAATTAGAATTTATTTTTTCCTATATGAGCGCGCAGAATTTACAATCGTCAGTGCACACTCTATTGTGAGCGTGTGTCTCAGTTAAAACTTATGCTATGGTGCCCTGTGATTCAGTGATGTTCTATAGTTAGACAAAAGTGTGTTTCTTTTTTTGCTTTTGATTTTGTTATGGTATAATAATTTTGTTTTAACTGATTGTACATGATGAAAATTTTTTTTCCTCTAATTAATTTTCGTTATTTTGAAAACGACTGGTTATAAGTTTACATTGCATAGACGATATCCGGTTATGTATACATGGGAAACGATGTTAGCGGATGGCTTGCCGGGCCGTGTTGGTAGAAGGATTATACTCCTATGTTTATTAATTATTATACAAAGTTTTTATTTTGTGAATTATAAAGAGGATATAAAAATCTTTTTATTTCTAAATACATGTACATGTTTATTATATAAATCATATACAGAATATCAAACAAAGAGGAATTTGACATGTTTTTATGTCAACCCCCTGGACATTTCGAAGTTCATCAACAGTCCTGTAACTTCGAGATAACGAGTTTTAATGTATCCCGTTTAAAATTACTGTTTCGACAAATCTATGAACGTTAAATTGACCTATCATTGAGTCGAATTTGAACTGACATATTTCATGCCAATAAGGGGCAATATTAAAACTATCTTTCCTTCTGTCTTCCAAAGTGAAACAAGAATTAGATAGATTACACGAGCAGGTGTACTGGTCCTAGCTGACAAAGCAGGTAACAACTTTGTCTTTGTTTGTGAGTCTCATCATTTGAATTGTATTTTAGAGGAAGTGTTAATCGACCTAGCTTATACCCAAAGACCCCTTACTAAGGAGGAAATTCTTCATAATCATATGTCAGTTTTAAATATTTTTTTTAATATTCCCAACAATCAAAAAAATTTGAATTACACACAAGTACATGAACTCTGAAGTTGGGGATCAGGACTTC